ATTCTCGGTTTTTATGCGTCTTGCATCTGGAATTATTCAAGGTTCATGCTTCGTTATGAGGGATTTGTTATTTGCTTTGTTACATGCCAGACAGTTTTTTTGTGTACAGGCTACCTTATTGCGGCAAAATAGGCTATTTCAATTGTTTGCCTAGGCTACATCCATTCAATGATAAAATAACTCGTTGATTGTGTAAATGTAAATTACACCGTTCATTCAATATCAGGGTCAGGGTGGCCTTTTAGATTGGATATAGGCCTAGTGCGCACACATTAGCGAAGATAACCGTTCAATTTATTCGTGTGGTTTGCGTAGCCTACGGATTTCAGGTAGGCCTTTGCCAAAAATATATTAAATAAATCAGGTCAAACTATTCATTAAAACCGTTTTTTTGCATTTTCTTTTATTCTGCCTATTTCCGCAGTAAGACGGGAATAAATGTGGACGGAAATCATTGACGGATCATAGATCTCTATAAGTTATTGTCGTGTTTTCGCATGTTATCCCAACATCGTCTCAACAGTCCATTTAAGCCATAGGCATACGTAAAATATTGATGAGGACGTAACATAACTTTTTATTTGCATGGCCTATAGCCTATTGAAGAGAACATGAGGCAAGAGTGATATAACGTAAATTAATCTAAAGCAGACTGAAGCAATATGGTACAAAGTAATATCCATTAATTCGTGAGTGGGATGATGGAGCCATTTCGAATGAAACATTTGTTCAAATGTCAGGGTGGTTATTGGGAATGGGGGTCACGCAGGCCTTGGACCAAGTATCCACTCAAGATTGCCGAGATGTGATGATCACTATAAGGCAATAATGTCATCAGGTCCATAGCCTTCTCCAGTTACGCACCGTGTCTGATTACATTCGACACCCAATGTTTTCGTTGCCCCTTCAGTGGTTTGTTTGGGTATGACAAAAAGGACACGATAAAAAATACTTATATTTTTAATTTTTGGTTTGGTTTGTGATTAACGACGGTCGTTTAGTTTATTTTCAGTCCTCCGAAAAAAGATTACTGTTTATCTTGCCACTGCCCTTTAACCTGTCTTGGTGGATGAAAAAGCTTCTGTAGACCATCCGTCGCGCAAGTGTCAAGTGCCATATATTTGAAAACGCATTATCAGAGGAGCCAACAATACGCGCATGAAGGCCAATAAGAACGTTCAACACCAATTTATAGGACAAAATATCAACAGATTAGGCCTATGATATAGATTGTCAAGGAGATAACACTACCAGTCCTGCCTCTGACGTAGGCTAGGAGCCAAAGCCCAAAGCGATGCTGACTGCATCTCTGTTGGTAATTATTTATGATGATCATCTCTAACCCACAGAGGCAAAAATTCATTTGGTTGTGCATAATGGCGTTTAAATCACATCACCGCGAGGCCCCCTACTCAGACTTTTGAGGCGCCCACAAACATATTAGATATCATGTGAACTCACATTTGACTTGTTTTTAAGGGTTAGAGATTCGTTTCTGAATAGTTTAGACCTCTTCATTCACTGATGTTTGTGTAGCATGGGGTGTTTCTCTTGATTTTATGTTGCTGTATCTTCCTTGTACCAAGATTGAATCCTTACCATTAACATTTCAATCTATTTGAGAGTTGAAATGCAATAGCTACATAAATTGAAAAATGTTTTGTTTTTGTTTCGGGATTGTTTTTGTTTTTGTTTCTAGATTATCTGAAATGTAATTTCAATTGACTCCAATACACAGCCTTGAGCGTGGACGCACCATGAAGGCAAATGCCATATACTTTGTTAGTTTATATGATTAGGTTTTTTTTTATTGATAAGGAATGAGCGTAGACCTCATTTTACAAAGAGGTTAATTAGCCTAAATAAAAACAATATTACGAGGAACCTGAACAAATAAATGAAAAAGTAAGTGATTTTTGAAAGGTTGCACAATTGCCTTTTGAAGGGTACTCTTTCCAGTTTGTCGGGGTCTCATGTCAAAAGTAAATGTCATGAAATGACTCGGAACGTCAAAGGTTCAAGCTGCCCAGTCACTATGGAAGGGGAACGGAAGGGTCTTGCCTAGAAGGAATCCAGTTTTTGCCAAATTTTACGTCAGAACTGAATTTTCGTAGCAGGTTATGAGAATTTACTCAGCAGGTTAGGATAATTAACATAGCAGGTTAGGATTGTTGGGTTAAGGTTAGGAAAAGGGTTTGGGTTAAGGTTAGCTAAAAAGCAAAAAAACTTTTGAAGTTAATTTGACAAAAGCTGGAAATCTTCTAGCCATTACCCTATTGGTGCGGGAAGCTCTAGTCTACAGGGCACAGTTCTATTTTGCTTAGGATCATTTTAAAACTCTCTCCATGGTTAAAGTAGTCAAAAGTAGATGTCATTGTTGTAAAAAACTGTGAGTGTGCGTCATTTACTATCATCCTAAATTATAATACTGAATTATTTTGTCATGTTTAATTATTTTATATTCACGCCAATTTCCCCAATGTGGACAGTTTGTATTACTACATTACATCCTTTTTGCTTCAGATTGCTGATGTTAATATAAAAGTTTACAGTCATCACGAATACATTAAATCGATTGCTTTAAACAGATTAATAATTGAATAATAATAATTGTAATGAACTATATTTGGTTTGGGACCGTTGATTGTGTTATACATGCCTGTCCATTGCAGGATTTAGAACGCAGTTATAATGTTCAAGCTCAAATGGCACAGAACATTCGGGGAGCTGAACATTCGGGGAGCAGAACATTCGGGGAGCTCTTTTCATAACAGTCGACGGCAGCACACCAATAGGCCTACACTGATTTGAGAGTCAAACTATCACTTTAATAACAGCCAACCCTTGTCAGTGTTGATATCCTATGCCGGGTCGTGATTCGTTGAAGTTAAATAACAAAGCAACTGATTTGTTTCTGCCCTGTTTCGGCAGCCTCCTATAATCTCCATTTGACATTGTAGAATTTAGATGAATGTCTTCAGCAAATTCTCTTCTAACCAGTTATGTAAAAAGTATTCCCTGATTCCGTGTGGCATTTGAATAGTGTTAGTTTAAACAGCGCATACACAGCAAACGTTGCCCCCTCCCCAAACGCTGCCCCCTGTTCTATTGATTTCAACATGATATCGATGGAAGTGACTAACAAAAAAAAAGTAGTACACTTAACGCGTTGGCGACACATTTGAATCAAAATGCAACATTGCAAAATGTAGCTGGTTGTCTTCAACACGTCGTCCTCTAACCAGTGATGTTCACATTATCCCCATATTCCTTGTGGTTTTTGAGCTGTGTTTGTTTGTTTTAACAGGACCTGTAACCTCATCTCCCCCTTCTTGCGCTATTGATTTCAAGGTGATAATCAATATATGAGTGATTGACAAAACAATGTTGCATTTCTATTTCTGTGGGGGAACCCCGTTACAAAATTACCTGTCTTCTGCAGGTTGTCCTTTAACCAGTGATGTAAAAATACTGTATCTCCAGTGTCCATGTGGTTTTTGAGTTGTGGTATTTCAACAGCGCATGGGCCTACAACCTGATTTCCCCCCTAATCGATATGAGTGATTTATTGCCAATTGTGAAAACAACATGGTTTTTGGTGAGTGTGCAGTTTATAAGGTGCTCATAATTTTTTTTTTTTAAATACGTTATTGGACAAGTGAAAACTGTGTTTTGACATTGGACTATTTATCAAAATGTATCGTCAACAGGAAGCAGCGACAACATCATTTTGAACCTACGTTTTAGGAATAGGCCTATAAATTGAGCATTCAACATTAATTTCCAATGGAATTGTACTTAACCAGTTAAAAACTGCTGAATGAGTTCAAAAACCTGCTGTGAGTTATTTATTTTGATGCCTACAATAATATAAAACGCTTAGCACTGGCGCCTGCGACAAGACTTGGAGATCGTGCGCAATAGAAGCTGTCCAAAACAAAATACCTGCCCAATGTAATTATAATACTGCATGCTATTGGGACCATTTGGCCTACCACCAGAGTTATTCAGGATTGTTTTTATTGATGATGATAAACAATGATTCCATAAAATCATCCAAAACCAAATAATAGCTGCAGATATGTTTTATACCAATCCAGGATATTCTTTGACATTCACTTGGCTATCAGCTCAAAACGAGTTTGCATTGTGTTTGCATATTGTTTTAACTACAGGTACAGGTGAATGATAATGGTGTTGATTTCCAAGCATTGTTTACTATATACTATTTATTTTAACGCTACAGTGAGTGACAGACATTTCGCTTAAATTACGGACAAATAGGCTACTGTCAATAGGCCTAAGATATATAAAGCCTTTCTCCTTAAAAACAAAAACAAAACAAGGCCAACATATATTTAAATGAATCACAGAAAATCAATTTCTGTTAATTTCATTCAAGTGTGGATTCAAGTGGCCGGGCTCATAACTGTGTGATGTGACGTTTAATCTCAGTCCATCTCTGACCAACCAGCAGGAGCCACTGATTTCACACACACACACGCACGCACGCACACAAACACACACAAACACACACACACACACACACACACTCACACACACCACTTCATTATTTTGACACAAGGTCTGCCTCACTTGCTTTTTTTAGGTGATTGTTTAGAAGGCCTGAAAAAATACCTCATCAAATCGTCCCCACACATGAATTGATAGACTATTAGGCCTACGGTAGATTTTGCAGCAGTGTGATTCTTTCATGTACATAGGCTACTCAATTATAAATTAGGTAGCGTACTTTCCATATATGTTTGGCCTTGAAAATAACACGGGTAGGCCTAATGTAAATGTTTATTGAGCTCAGTTCCTATACGATATATAAATTGTGTGCGTGTGTAGGCTCTAAGCGCACCCAGCTGCCGGGCGGTTCCATTGCGCTGGAGCATATTTCAAACATGCCTGAATAAAGGGCCCATTTTCTTCCAAACTTTCCAAGGCAATGCAACTCGACGTTGCCTCATGCGCTCCCTAAATAATCTCCTGCAGTCAGATTGAATGCTCTTTGTGGGTGGGACTCTCTCATTTCGGGGAGGTTTAATGCAGAAGATGGGTGGGTCCCATCCCTTGGTTCTGCTGTGAGCGCTTCCATTCGGTCACACCGGGCATATCTCCACCAGCGGAATCTGAAAGCATTAGGCGCTGTCAGTGCTGCGAGGAAAAGAGAGGCTGTTTATCTGGAGAACAAATTCATGGAAATCTGTTTTTTATTCTTGCAATGGCAAGTGTTTGGCTACGGATAGAAATCTAAACATTCTTGTTGAAGATTGAGAAAGCTCGTGTATACAGGATTTAATACTTATTTTTAATACGACATCATTCTTTTCAAGGTGGAATGAATTTGGACAGAATCGCAGAGACCGTGATATCCCCACCGACGCGCGACATGGCCTCTACGTTTCACTTGCCGAGAACTGCAAACAACACTCGAGAAACGTTGGAGAACTCAAGCAGCGAGTCATCAGATACTGAAATAGCAGGTACATTAACGGTGTAATAACATTGCATTACCTACTCTCATTATTACTAAGTAGGCTATACAACAGGCATTTTTGTGTTAAACATTATAGGCTAAAAAGGTACTTATGTGTGTAATGTATTCGATATTAAGAGAAACTAAAATATGTAGCTTACAACATTGCCCAATGCTGCCCAATGCATTGAGTAATACCATATATATTCGAAACACAAAGCACCTTCTGTTGAATTAAATAAATAACATGCAATTGTCGTGTTTTAATAGGCCTACTTTGATAACAATAAGCTTACGGTTTGATCAAATATAATATTTTCTGCATATTTAAACCAATGACATGCAAGAGTTATAATAATTGTTTGAAGTTATAATATGTGCTACTGCAGAATGGTCGGTATTTTCTATTACAGTCCTCCTCATCAGTTGTAAGCTATCAATATATAGACCTAATACTAAAGAGATAATAAGACGTAAGCCTAAGAAGAATAGGGCTAGCCAATACATTCAGCAGCTACAATACGGCTAGTTTGTTTTAAACTGATCTTTCTTAAAATATATATCGCCCTTCTTACATCTAGCTATTTTCAAGGTATGAAATAAAGGCTATCTTGTAAAGACACGCATGGACAAGATAATGGACTCTAGATAAGACTGGACAAACGTTGCAACAAAGGGAATGTTCTTGGTTTATGCAGGTTTATGCCGATTCATTTCTAATAGAGCGTCTAAAATAATCAATATTGAACCCGGAGCAAATCTGTTAATGTTTGACGCTATGCATGGAACGTGATAGCCTACTTGTGGTCTTTGTAGGCCTTATAGACTTTTGAAAATTGTCATTTACTTTAGTGATTTATGGACACTTCAAACAATGTTAGGATTACCCAACAATGTTAGGATCACCCTGCCAGGTGATTTTCTGCTGCAGAAGTAAACCATTTGTTAAAAATTGTACATGCGTTTCGTACATACTGTTTCTAGAATCATGAGCTGAGATTGTACAGAAAACATTTGGGTGAGTGGCACGCCTCTATGTAAAATCAAAATAGTCTGACTCAGTATAAGCTACAGTACAATAACCAGAATTTATATGTTTGTTTTTCACAGAAAAGGAGAGGAGCGTAGAACACAGAAGTGACGATGGAAACGCAGATGATCCCAAAAAGAAGAAAGCGAGGCGGCAGAGGACTCATTTCACCAGCCAGCAGCTGCAAGAGCTCGAGGCCACCTTTCAGCGGAACCGCTACCCGGACATGAGCACGAGAGATGAGATAGCTGTGTGGACCAACCTCACCGAGGCCAGAGTCAGGGTAAGGACCTGGAGATGCATTTTGGCCCATGCTGAAAACGTGCATAGCGGTCTTGCAAGAGGTCGTGCAAACGCTTCACGGTTATTGATAATAAAACTATTGATAATAATGATTGTATGATAATTAGACCAGTAGGGCGCTAGGTTAGGCCTACATTTTGATGAATTCAAAGGGAAACCGTAACGATGTGAATTAATGAAAGTAAAAACCTTTCCGTTTTTAACCTGTTCTGGGTTTATTGCTTGACTTCAAGCCAACACCACTTGGATGATGTCATTGCAATAATTACCAATGATTACATTTTAGTCATTTAGCAGACGCGCTTATCCAGAGCGACTTACAGTTAGTGAGTGCATACATTTTCATACTGGCCCCCCGTGGGAAACGAACCCACAACCCTGGCGTTGCAAGCGCCATGCTCTACCAACTGAGCTACAGGGGACTACATTACATACGTTATGAGGTATGTCTGACGCCATAATTTTCCTCCATCTTTATGGGGGTGATGGATTACACAAATGTATCGACTTTTGATGACATTGCATCTACAATGTTTTTTAGTGTATACTTACAGTATCTGTGCCAATCAATTTAGAATATTTATTTCGGTAACAGTTCATTTTACATAGGTCTTGTTATTGCTATAATGTGTATTGTTCACTACACACTCCACTGTAACGTGTTACTCTAGAAACGTTTTACAGCAAACCATTTTAGTGCAGTGCATGAGTAATTACCATATTACCATGCATACACATGTTCTTGCGAGTAATTGCACATTAGGCCTATTGGAAACCCTTTTTGCAAAATTCAACCCAAACCCCCTAAACAAATCGGGTGTTTTAATAACAATATAGGCAAGAAACAAGACAAGCTTGAGTTTTTTTGTGTCCTAGGCCTACAATTAACGTATGTCCCATGTGTAAACGTACCAATACTTTGAAGCCTACATATCAAAACAACAATGCACTTTAGTCAGTTGGCAAGAAGTCGACAATAAGCCCAATAAGCGCCTAATATTATTTTAATTTCGTTTTTCAATGGCTAATAGATTACGATTATCCATACATCTATAGAATAGTTTCAAACATTATGAAGAGGATCACAAACTCTTATTGACGCCCAAGCAGTAGCACATCATAACATTGACCTTATATTAGCCAGAAGGGAATTACGTACACTTAAAATAGACGCACAAGAGTAACACCTATTTTTCTGGAACATTTTGTTCAGTGGTCTTGCAAGGGGTCGTGCAAACGCTTCACGGTTATTGATAATAAAACTATTGATAATAATGATTGTATGATAATTCGACCAGTAGCCTGCTAGGTTAGGCCTACATTTTGATGAATTTGATTGTCCATACTGCCTATGCAGACGTGAGAGCGGGGAGATATAGGCCCACAGCTAAAACACAATGACGAGGAGGCTTTTCTAGCTAAATATAACCCACCACTGCGCTCTAAGCTTATGGTGTCACATCGTTCATGTCTTTGTGGACAATTTATCACTAGCCTACAACCGTGTGCCACGGAAGACTATACATAGCCCCACTTCAAATTATATTGCCTAATACTCCTGATTTGTTTCCATAATAAAGTAAAAACGAATTGTTCTTATAATAAAAACATTAGAGAGCCAATTTTGTCAAGTTGTGGCAAAAATATATTCTAGGTTTTTTCATCATTCATAGGCCTAATTAGGCCTAGCCTAGGCTATATATTTTCTATTGGACTATTATGGATTGTATTATAAATGTTACATAATAATATAATAACACAACTATTGTTATTATTATTATTATTATTAAATTAAATTATTTTTTAGATCGCATTTTTAATAAACGTTTTTCTTTTGTCTTTGATCTTTAGGTGTGGTTCAAAAATCGCAGGGCCAAATGGAGGAAGCGTGAACGCAACCAGCAAATGGACCTGTGTAAGAACAGCTACCTTCCCCAGTTCAGTGGACTCATGCAGCCCTACGACGACATGTATCCTGCCTACACGTACAACAACTGGACGAACAAAGGACTGACCCCGGCTAATCTGTCCACAAAGAACTTCACTTTTTTCAACTCAATGAGCCCACTCACATCCCAGTCAATGTTCTCAGCTCCTAACTCCATCTCCTCTATGACTATGGCCGGAGGTATGGGGGGCCACTCGGCTGTACCGGGGATGCCAACTGCGGGCCTGAACAACATCAGCAATTTTAACGGAATCGGCACCTCTACAATCAACTCAGTCATGTCCTCGTCGTCCTGTCCGTATGGGCCTCCCGGTTCCCCTTACAGCGTATACAGAGACACATGTAACTCTAGCCTTGCGACCCTGAGACTGAAATCGAAACAGCACCCAACCTTTGGATACAGCGGGTTGCAAAGTCCCGGGTCTAGCCTTAATGCCTGTCAATACAACAGTTGACGCATCAGCCGTGATGAAAATAATCTGCGGACAGCCTAGCCTACCTGCGAATGGGGCGAAAGACAACTAAACTGGATTAGTTGCAATCATTTATTTTTCCAATGGATTATGCGGGTTGTAGCCTGTGTGTTTACCAATGAACTTGTATGCTACAACAATTTATATGACCATGTTTTTTGGATTTAAAAGTGATGATGAAGACGTGTTACATTGCAACATTGTACATTAGCCTACATAATAAACAAACAAAGGAACTCCTATGCATGTTCACTTACTTCCTTTGAGGGCTCAAACCCATTTGAACATGGCTTGTATTGGTCTAGGCCAGCGTTTCCCAAACTCGGTCCTGGGGACACCAAGGGGTGCACGTTTTTTTGTTTTTTGTCCTAGCACTACACAGCTGATTCAAATAATAATGATTTGTTGATTATTTGAATCAGCTGTGTAGTGCTAGGGCAAAAAACTAAACCCCCTTGGGGTCCTGAGGACCGAGTTTGGTAAACGCTGGCCTAGGCCTATACTCTTGGTCTTGGATTAGAAACAAACAAGTGTAACAAATAGGTCTAGGCCTATCCGGACTCTGTAGAAGAACAATTCTATTGTACATAGCTTAGACTTTTATGTTGCTCATGTGCTTTACCGTTTATGCAGGTGGTGCCACTGGCACACTTAATTATGTCCTGTTTCTGTAGTGTGTCTTTACTTTTATATGCTTTGTCTGGAATATTTTCGATTTATTTGTTTGCTAAAATAGAAATTCTGCATGCTTAACTTGGGTGCAAAGTGTTTTGTACAAGTTGATAATAATGTAAGATAAAGCAAAGTCCATTATACTGTATTCAAAAGGTGATTGAAAAGTAACTTCATGTGTTTATGGTAATATGTTTGAATAAACTACAGCAGATAGAAGTTCATTTCAGATATAAATAAAGGGAAAAGGTATACGTGACAAAAAAATAATATGTTCCAAGTTTACGGAATAAAAGACAGGAGTGTGAAGTAAATATCCTATATCTATAGCCTACAATTAATTATTTCAGTGTTGACAACTCAAACCAATCTTCACCTGCACACAGTTAAAACCGCCTAGAGCAGGGGTCCCAAACTGTTTTGGCCTGCGACCCCATTTTGATATCAAAACATTTTCACGACCTGACCATGTAAAAAAAAGTGATTTAATCAACGGCAAATGATAGACTAACTTTTCTAATTGGGGCTATGAAAGTCTATTACACACCAGTCTGACAGTACCTTTGATAGTATTTCATTCTGAAGGAGTATGATGGTTTGAAGTGACTGAAATCAGAATCAGAACGGTATTGGCAATCATTTTGTATGATCTTCTGTGTAGAAAATAACATCCCAGTTACAGTTTACAGTTTACAGCGTCATTTAGCAGACGCTCTTATCCAGAGCGACTTCCAATTAGTGACTGCATACATTTTTCATACTGGCATCCCCACTGGGCACAGACATCAGTTCAACGTCCAGTTTTTGATTTACATTTGGTTGAGTTGTTAACTAACGTGAATTCAACGGGGCGGCAGGTAGCTTAGTGGGTAAGAGCGTTGTGCCAATAACCGAAAGGTCGCTGGTTCTAATCCCCGAGCCGACTAGGTGAAAAATCTGTCGATGTGCCCTTAAGCAAGGCACTTAACCCTAATTGCTCCTGTAAGTCGCTCTGGATAAGAGCGTCTGCTAAATGACTAAAATGTAAATGTGAATCAACCAAACATTTCACCGTGTAATTGGATTTAGGTTAAAGGTGGGTGAAAAAAATACGAATTTCCCTTAGTTGTTTATTTTTTTCAAATCCAATCAGTTTTCCCACGTTGATTCAACATCATTACATTGATTTTTTTTGGTTGAAATGACGTGGAAATAATGTTGATTCAACCAGGTTTTGCACAGTGGGTCATCTTTAACCAGGTTTCCATGCAACCTTTTTATGCAAGTAAAGTAGGCTACATGTCAGATAAAAATGTCACAGCAAATTTGTCGGTAAACTTTCCAAATGTTGACAAAACTAAATAGGCCTACCTAAACAAGGTGGGATCTTTTTCTGTAGGTAAAATTAGTTATGTGAGAAATGGCGGTGGAAAGCCTTTATGCGCTAATATTGATATAATAACCATCATATCAAAGTAAACTTGGAGTCAGGCTTTATGTGGTTCTCCCACTACGACTCGGGAAAGCATACAGTTTATTAGGCTACAGATTAAGTAAATTATGATAAACTTCAGACGGTGGTGAAAGTGCACGGTGATGAGCTTGATGCACTTTTCCAATAAATAGTGAGGGTTTTATTCTGGTGACATGATGGTAGATGCTTGGTTACGTGTTTGACGAATAATATTAATCTCACTCTTTTGTCCATAATAATCTCATCATGTAGTAGGCTATATCTGCGCAATTTATATGCGAGCGGGCACATTCGCTATATAACCATTTTTCTTTTATTTATAAAACCATCAGTAGAGTTGAAAATGCAATGGAAACCCATTTAAATTGTATTTTTTATTCGGTTCATGGGAATTTAACCGCAAATGTTATTTTTATGTGCGCCACGTCATCACACACAGCATTTTATCCACAACAAGTCGATTTGATAGAAACACGCATATTGTTTTTATATTTAAAAAAAACCTGTATCACCAAATATGTATATTTTCATTTACAATTGTATTTATCCATGAAATAAATAATAACAGCACATCCAATAATGTTATTGTAGACTAGGCTACTCCCATATCATATAAACAGAGTAAATCATAGAAGGTGACTTTAACGTTAGGCTATCAACACAGTAAAATAATAACCGTTATCGACACCAGGCGAAATAGTAAATATTTTAAAACAAACCAAATAGCCAATGCGTATCGCAGAGTAAATGTTTCCAAATAATATCACAATTATATACTAGCCCTACTTACGATTCCTCCACAATGAATTCCATCCAGTTCATCATAATAAGAAAACTGTCTGGACCAGATTATCTGTTTCATCCTCACTGCTCTTCAAAATCGCGTCCAACCCTTGTTTCGTGGTGAACGATTTAGTTGCCATATTTCTTCATGCACAAAACAAACAATTAAACAATATTTATGCCTCACGGACTTGTTGACGACCCCGTTGGCGTCACCGAGCTTCATCGCTCAGGGAGGCTTCGGTCAGATAAGCTGTGCTTTGGTATACAAATGAGCAGTGTCGACTTTAGCATGTAAATCTTGGTGGGGCAAACCCCACATCTTTTGGGGGGATGCATGCCAGCAAAGCCACTGCACAGCACAGCACAACACAACACAACACTAAACAATACATTAATTACACTATAACGGTGACAAACGGTGCCCACAAACTGTTAGGTCCTACATAAAGCTGTCCCAACAGCTGAGTCCCAACAGCAGTCCCAACACCTTACCACTGCTATCAGCGGAGTCTTGTCTGGCAGCGAAACAGTTCATTCAGCCACATTTACTGCCTTTTAAATAAAACATAGCTGATATGGCTGACTTGCTTAAACACGTGGTTTATACTAACAATTGAGATGTACAAACTATAGCTTAAGGGGACGACTAGCAGATAAGAGGCAATCCGTAATTTCAACGAGCGAGCTAGGACAGAATTCTGTCATCAAACTTTGTCATCAAAGTCTGGCATTCTCTGGATTTATGGTGCTTTCAAGACAACTGGGAACTTGAAAAAAATAAAGGTAGACTCATGATGAAGTCAGTGATCTTCAGGTCGGAGCTCTAGAAAGAGGCCCGAGTTGTCGAATTGCAATTCCGAGTTGGATGACGTTCCAAACATATTTTCCCAGTTGGAGCTCGTTTTTTCCAAGTTCCCAGTTGTCTTGAACTCACTGAAGTCTGAGATTTCCCAGTTCTGAGTTAGCAGTTATTTTGAGCATGGCAGAAGTCATGCTGGATTGACAGCATGGCCAATGTTGAATGTTTATCATTTTAAGCATGGAAAAGAGACCCTTAAACCCAGAATTGGACCCCACACCCTCTCCACTGAATAGCAGGCTAGTGATTGCTTTGCAATGCTTGCAGTTAGCCACTGATTCCTTCCAAACCACTCATTCTTGAATTTGCGATTTCCAACTTGTTGTGTAATGTCTATTTCCAATGGCCGATGAGCACCGATATGTTTTTCTATAATTTCTCTTCATTATTTATTTTCATATGACATGGATTGAAAATGATTTGCCAGTAGATCGTCGACTTGATTCATGTTGATGACTGATAGCTTCCTAGCTAAGATTTTGAAAGTTTGATGTTGACATGATCAGTCCAATCAAAGCTACTGTAGATATAATGTGATTTGACATCATTTTATCTGTGGCCAATGACCTTGAGCCTTCTTGGATGGCACTTCTAATGTAACTCTATGGCAGCACCCAAGGGGCTTGAATTGTCGAGCTCTACCCTTAGATTTTGCAGTGATGTAGTGTCCCCATGATTGACAGAACACTGAGCCAACCACGGCGCAACAGGAGAACATTACTAACCCCTACAATCCGTATTTTCCGCTGGCTGCCCCACCACCACCACAGAAAGCACTGAGCTACGCTGAAACACCTGCATTTTGGAGCTGCCTTACTCAAGAAAGCAAAAAAGAGACCATGTTTGTATGCAGCTTTATTAACTAAGGATTGGACCCTTTTTTTTCATATTTCGCCTATGAATGACATACCCAAAACTAACTGCCTGTAGCTCAGGACCTGAAGCACGGATATGCATATTGTTGATACCATTTGAAAGGAAACACTTAGAAGTTTGTGGGAAGTGAACTTAATGGAGGAGAATATAACACATTAGATCTGGTAAAAGATAATACAAACAAAAAAACATGATTTTTCAAAAAAAAAAATTATTCCATCATATTTGAAATGCAAGAGAAAGGCCACAATATAATATTGCAGGCGCAATTTAGAATCTGGCCACTAGATGGCAGCAGTGTGTGTAAAACGTTTCAGATTGATCCAGTGAAGCATTGCAATACTGGACTATTTTGTATCCAGTCTGCCCAAATATGCCAAATTGGTCAATTTATACATTTTCAAGTACATAACTATAGAGAACATACAAGAATGATATGGTAATACAAAATGTAAGTTTACACACTCCCAGGAATGTCATGCATGATGGATCATTAACTTATACAATAACTTTCACACATCTAGATGGCCGGGTGGGGTGGGTGTGGAGCCAGAGACAGTAGGGGTTCAAACTGTAGAACCCAGTTCCTACATATGAATATAAAAATGGATTTTATCAAACAAAACTGTGCTACATTTTATCTCTGGGACCCTTTGGATGACAAATCAGAGCAAGATTACTGAATGTAA